CAGAGGAGGAAGAGGCGGGCATTCTCTCTGTCTCCCCTCCCTGCAAGGACACGGGTGTGTGCAGAGTACTGTCCCTTGGAGGGACGGCGGCTGAGTCTCAGTCCCATGGCCACACCTGGCTGCACGGGAGGAGCACGGTACTGGACCCGGCCAAAGGACAGCCGTCACTCCTGCAAGTAGAGAATTTTTGCATTTATCAGTTTTTAAGAGGCCTAAGGTATTTTAGAGGTTAAATCTCTCAGTGGGATTTTTATATTAAAGATGCTCAATTCTGAGAGTTTTGGGGCAAGGATGAGAGAGATACTATATGAAAATGCACACTTCAGTTATATTTTTGACATCAGTTTTGGTTGCTTTTTTTTTCCTGGGCTTTACATCTTTGAGGAATTATGTCCACAGAGTATTAGTTAACCAAGGTCTCAGTGTTCTCAGAAGTGGTGCCAAAGGGGAAATAAATCCATCTTTGATGGAAGAACTTCTTGAGAGTGAAGCTAATTCTGTACTCAGGTCTCCAAAAGCCTGCTGTGTTGTGGGTCTGTGGACTTGGAGACACGTGTGCAGGTCAGGGCCGCTGGCTGGGAGTGTCTAGGCAGGACCCGGTGCTCTCTGGAGAGTTCTTCTTGGTGCGTGGTAGACCCAGGGGTCAAGAAGGCGCTGAGGGAGGGGAGGACTGCTGGGGCAGGCGCCTCTGCACCTGCCGGAGGGAGGGGTGTGGGCAGCACTGGGACGCGGGTCGTTGGCCCTGAGACGTGGGAAGGCACAGCTTTGTTTGAAGTTGAGCAAAAGGGAAGGAGAAGGAAGTCCTGTCCATCAGTAGTGGTTTAAGTATTTCCTGTGAAGGACAGAGGTAAATTCAACATTCATCAAGAGGATTCTGGTTTAAAATTCATCACAAATACAGTTTGAGTCCCAGGAACCCTAACTCTCGACCAGTGTATTTACTGGTTTGGGAACCTTGCTGTCTGACAGCACCTTCCGTGCGGTTGGCTGTTTACACTGGGTCTCACTTGCGAAGAGGGAGCGTGTGGTTCTTCTGCCCGTGATCTGATGTGGCGCCCAGTATGAGCAAGAAAACGAGCACAGCCTTGCTCTCCTGGAAGCTTCAGGGGAGAAGAATTTGCGTCTTAGAGACTAAATGGCTAGAAAGCTGCCATTCCTGAGAGCACAGTGGGAAGAACATGGCTCACGTGGACAGGCGGTCCCAGCTCCCTCCCGGAAGAGCTGCGGGCACCCTGCTCCTTGCTTCAGGGCTTTGGGAGGTTCGAGCCCCACGTGGATGTCCCGCAGTGGCCGTGTGGCTGTACCCGGCATCACCCCTGCCCTTCCCGAAGAGCCCTTGGCCCGCGGCCCCGGGCCCAGGACGGTCAGGGCGCCTCCAGTCCTGGACCCAGCGCAGCGGCCTACGGTGGCGGAAGTGTCTGTGCGCCCAGCCGGCCCCGTGAGGCCACCGAGCCCCTGAGATGTCGCCCCAGCGACAGGGAACTAGATTTTTATTTTGTTGGTTTACTTGCATTTAAGTTTTAGTTAGTTAATATATAACTTCAGGAGTAGAATTCAGCTGAGTCCTCACTTCTGCCCAACACCCAGGGCTCATCAAGACAGGTGCCCTCCTTGGTCCCCATCGCCCGGCTAGCCCATGCCCCGCCCCCTCCCGCCATCAACCCTGTTTGTCCTCTGTTGTTGAGAGTCTCTTGTGGTTTGGGGAACTGGATTTTTAGATTAATTTTAACTCATTTAAATTGCTTCACATGGCTACTGTAGTGAACAGTATGGCTCTCACCGAACGTTACTATCTTGTCAGCTGTCTGTAGGTTAGGAAGGTTCCTTTGAACTCGTGTGGAAATTGAAAACCTTGTGCTTGAGTTTGGGAATTGGGGTTTGGCAAGAATCTAAAAGGTCCTTGTAGATAATTTTTTGTCAAATGAATTTATGTGAATTTAGGACCTGCCCTTTGACAATCATTTATGTAGTAAGGAACTACCTCACAACAAAGGTCTTATAACAAAGTTGTATTGTGTTTAAGATGTAGAAGTAGGATCTGTTCGATTCACGTCATCCGACAGTTGTGGAGCTTGGGTTCCGGTGAGTTCTATGGCGCCAGAAGCCAAGCTCGAGCCTGCAGATGAGCGGGCACGTCGTGACCGGAGCCGGGCGCACGGCTCGCAGAGGCGGCCTTGTATTGAAAGTGGGACAGTCTGCCTGTTCCTGCGGGGGGTCCTAAGAGAGGGTCTAAATTTAGGTGTCTGTAATAGGCCCTCCCTAAAACCTACAACGCCTGAGGCGCTGCTGGGGTTTCTGGCGTCCCCACCACGAAGCCCAAAGCAGACTGGCTTCCTGATTACATGAATGGAAATGTGTTGTTGTTGAATTTTTTCACTGGCTTTGCTTACTTGAGCCTCATTTTTATTTTCTTCTTGCCAGGTGTCACATTTAAAAGACCTCTAGCACACGGACGAAAGTTACAGAGCCATTGCTCGAAGTAGTTGGAAAAGCTATACTTGCTAGCATTAGTTAGTCTCAGCTTCGCACCCCCCCCCGCCCCGAGATGGAGTTGTCTTCATCTTGGAAGTAAAAGCAATGCCTAGGAATCGCCTTCATTTTCACAAAGTATGCCCTCTCTCATTTTTCACAAAACATACGGCCCTTTTGGTCCCTGTTTAATGTTCCCATCTGTGACAGAAATGAGTACGCTAAGTCCTTTGCTCTCCACTTGACTCCACGAAAAGTGGATGCGTCACGCGGTTGAGTTGTGGCCGTTCCGGTCTCACAGTCGGGAGGAGGACAGTCCCGCCCTGGACGGTCCCTCACCCCGACACTTTGGTGGTCTACTGCCTCCTCAAAACCCCCACCAGGAGGTACACCTTGCTTACACCCGCCGTGTCTGAAACAGACCTGCCCCCAGCCCCCCCTTCTCGGGGCGAGGGGTCCTCTCACATGTGTCCCGTCATTGGGCACTAACAGCCTTGTGTCCAGAAGACCCGATTCTCTTCGCCTGTCACTTCCTCTGCTGCCCACCCCGCCCCAGCCCCTTCCCTGGGCACCTGCCAGCCTTCCTCCCCCCTGCTCTTCCGGCTGTCCTCCCCCTCCCCCACCGTGTGTTCTGCTTACGGCAGAAAAGGGTCGCACCTTGCTCTGCTCAGACAACAGGGACTCAGGCATGTGGGCCAAACTCTGACCAGACAGGAGGGGCATCGGTGGTATTTCTAGAGGAAAGGAAACCGCCCCCTTGGAGTCATAGGGACTTGACACGTTCCTGCTGCATTCTCGGCGCCACTGTTTGCCGCAGGAAGCAGCGTTCCCATTTTACGAACAGGTAACCTTGGGTTTCTAGGTGTTTAGTAACAGCCACATCTGTCCTGTGGCGAGGCGAGGATTCCCGTCCAGATCTTTCTGTATGGAAAGTGCTTTCTGTGAGGGAGCAGTTGCCCTGAAAGGAGAATAGGGGAGGAAACGCTGGGGAATAGCACCTCAGGACTCTCGGCTGCTTCTCTCTACGCGCTTGTCCTGCTGCTTCCCTGGTGATTAGCACCCAAGCCCTTAATGCAAAGTTCCTGTCTGTTTGTGCAGCGAGGAAGGGAAGGCCCTGGGGGGACACTGTCCCTCTTTTACAGCCTCTCAGCACAGATTTCAGCAGAGCTGAAAGGATCAGCCAGGGGAGTTACAAAGGGAGGTGGTTAGAAAAATAAATGGAAAGTATAGTAAATGAAAAATGTAATAAAAGATAGTAAATGAATACATGAAAAATATAATAAATGAAAATATAATAAAAACAAGTGGGTTGTATGAATTAACTGAGTAAGTGGAACCAGGAAACAGTATGTTGAGAGGGAGTTTTTATAAGGATGCAGTGAACATAATAACAATAACAGTGAAAAGAATGGGGGACCGAAGCCAATTTTGGGTTTAGCAAGGAGTTTGTTGGTTTAGGTGCTAAGTAGTAGTCAGATTATAGAATAGGGGATTGAAATGTTTGGATGGGGGATCAGCCACGTAAATGCTGCATGATTTCTGTAGTTTTGTTTATAATGACAGCTAACTTGAAATTACGGAGAAAGAAGTCACCACTTTCGTATTATCTTTTAATATTTTCCATTTAGCTTTCCTTATGTAATTCTGAAAAGATACCACCGTGTCAGTGTTTTCCTTCTTGATCCTTTTGTACCCTCTACCTGTCTCCCGACAGGCGGTACGGTCTGCAGAGGTGCGATTTTGTGTGGCACATGAGGGCCATCTAGTGGCCAAAGATCCCGGTGCCCTTGGCACCAAAGGGACTGTGGAAAAGGAGAGTGATCAAGTCTTTCTGGTCTGTTTTCTCGGCCAGAGCCAGAGCGCTTTGAGGCTCGAGATAGGCGATAGTAATGACCAGTTCTGCAGCCTGATCTACAGAAAGTCACGGGGCCTTCTAGCATTTCCACACATTTAGCCTTCTGACATTAGACAGATCACCTGATTTCTTGACTTCGGTTTCCCGTGTGGAACACAGGTGATAAAATGTGGTTAGCCAAACGAGTCCCTTCATCAGAAATGGTTTACTTAAACAAACTAGTCGCCTTTTAGGATTACTTCAAGGAATGTTTTTTAAACTTCCATGGTTTATCCCACACCTTTCCCTACTCTGGCCAGTCGGCTTTCTCTGCAACTCTGTCCCCCAGTTGAAACTGGCGTTTGCGAGGCTGACCCTTCCGGCAGCGTGTTCCTACACCGTGCTCGCCGAGAGGCACTGTGTGTACAAGGCTTGTCAACAGTGAGGGGTAAAAGGGAAAGAGACGTTCTGCTGAAACCAACTTGTACTGGTATTTTCTACTCACGTCCAGAGAATGATTTGTCCCACCCCTTCCATGACTGTGCTGGTAAATGGGAGCTTTGTTCTATTTCCTTCCTTCTTGAATGCTATATGGAAGGACAAAGAATTTAAATCGCTTTTATGTTCTTGCAACAATGTCATTATATTAATTGATTTGGTGGTGTTATTTGTTAATATGCTTCTTTTTATATTTCAGAAAAGATGTTGGTTTGAAGCGATTTTTTCCTAGGAGTTTACTGGATTCTGTCAAGGTAATTGGAATCTGTTTTTTGTAATCGGATGACCATGTTATTATAAATACCTCCCCCGTGGTGTATGGTTTTCTCCCCTGGGTGTAAAAGTTACAACGTGAAAAAGCTAATCGTTACTTTGCTTATATTAATGGCAAGTAGATTTTTGTAGGCACAGCTTTCTCCCACAAAGCCACTGTTTCACTTCTTGATTATGTGTGACACTCAGCTAAGTACGAGACTAAGAAAGCTGCACGCACGGTAGGCTTTGTCACCTCGGCCTGTCTGGTCTCGGGTGCCATGGCACACGAGAGCAAAGAAGCGGTGTGTAGAAGAACCACAGCGGTAGCTGAATGCTGTGTGTCTGCGCATGCCGTGCCCACGTAAGTGCCCTGTGGAGGCCTGTCCTCTCTTGTTTTGACCCCGTGGACACCCCTCCTCATTAGTAACTTCTGCACAGCGCCATCTTCTCTCCCTCCCTGCTGTGGGAACGTCAGGGGAGGGACACCTGGGGCCCGTGAGGTGTGGTTTCCCGCCCATCCAGAGCGTGTGCCAGGACGGTCAAGTGCGGGGGCCGGACTTTGGGTCAGAACAGAGTCCCCCCCGTGGGAGCTGTGCCATTTACAAGGCCTGTGATCTTGGGCCTGTTTCTTATTTCCTCGATGAAGAAAATAGTCTTTTGGGGGGGGTGGTGTGAATATTTAATAGGTTCATGTATGGATGTTACCACGGTACCCGTAACGAGTCAGTGTATCAAGGTGGCTGTTTGTGCGCTTTCTATCACAGAGGTGGTGTTCTGTACCAGAATAGTCACGTGGAAGACCACACGAGCAGGATAAGACGTGTGCTATGGGAGAAGGTAGCATACTGGTCCAGAAACCTGGCTGTGCAGCCAAACTGCCCTGGTGAAAATTCTGACTTCATCACCGTGAATTGCACGGGATGTTGGCCACGTTACTTAACCTTACTGTGTTTCTGTTTCCACATCTGTAAAGTGGGGACCAAACCACTTTCTAACACGTGGGCTACGTACGAGGATGAATGGATTCATAAGTATAAAGTCTGAGGACCGTGAACACAGAGCTCACTAGGTGTTCTCTAGTGTGAGGAGGGAAGGAGCACGGAACCTCTCACTCGTGCCGATAAAATGCTGACTCAGCAGTCTTTATTGCATTAATTGTTTCTGCCCAAGGGTTTCTTGGCCCTTGTGCTGTTACTTTCTGTTCTTTATGTATAGTCAACCATGTCCCGTTGCCTGTCATCGGGTCATGGTGTTGGTGCAATTTACCGAATGCAGTCTGTGACGAAGGCCCCGTGTCCAGGCATCCAGGTTCTGCTTGTTCTTGGTCTCATCGAGAACAGGACTACAGGCACTAGTCCTTGGTCTCCCTGAGTCTGTCTGCTCAGCCTCACGTGGGAGGTGGTCATGCCCCCCCACCCCCACCCCGCCATCACACAGCTTCTGGAGAATCTTACGGGAAGCAGATACAGACAGAGGTGTTAGTTTTAAAGTATAAGGTACTTGATACGAATGTAACGAGACACAGTTGAGAGAGGGAAGTGTGCTCTTCTGTAATGTTTCAGCCTCTCTGGTTTCTAGTGTTGCCGTCCTGCTCTTTCATTTGCATTCCCATTTCCTGATCTACTCCCCACACGCTGGAGTGAATTGTCGGGGTACCAGCTCTCTCAGCATACTCCGAGCAGGTGATAAGGGCCAGGTACAGAGATGGGTGGGACAGGCAGCTCGCAGACCTGGCATGAGCTAGGTGGCTGTTGTGGGGAGGGGTGCGGTCCGAGACGAAGAGCTTTAAGGAAGTCCGGCAGAGTGGGAGGGGTTGGAGGTGAGATCCGGGGTGTTTGGAGGTACCCGAGAGCGACAGGGTTGTGTCCTTCTGGAGGGTTTTGAGATGCGGGCCGTCCGTACTCCTGGGGTTGCGGGATGGTGTGACCTGGAGAGTCACACCGTGGCTCCAAGAAGGCCTTGGACAATCCTCGAGTGGAAGGGATGCCTCTGTGCATGGATCTGTAGTTCGTGGGTGGGGTGGGAGGAGGCGTTCACACGAGTAAAAGGCACAATTCTGTAGTGAGTTCACGTCACTGAACGGACAAGCATAGTAGCCAACGTGAATGGAAAAGCAGGAAAATATGTGAAAGTAGCTGGACCACGGCCACAGTGTCCTGAGTGGTGCTCAGGTGTGAGCCCCGTGGCGGCCTCAGAGTCACTGCAGTCTTTTCCGCGCTTCGTGTGGACAGGCAGTTGTCACGAGAGGTATGACTGCTGTTGTGTGGGAATCCAAGAAGGTACCCTGGGGCAAGCGTAGCCGAGTGGACCCATGGTGCCCCCTGCCCACCCTCCCCCCCCACCCCCGACCCCGCGGCCGGCTCTCCCAGACCGGGCCTTCTGCGCCCTATCGCGGTCTCCTCGCACCACAGGTACAGGCCGGGGACCGACCGCTCTCCTCTCTCAGGACCCTGCTCAGGACCCTGGTCTTTACTTTCTCAGGCTCACATTCACGGGGATTTCCTTGTCCGCGTTGGGTCGGCCTGCCTCCACTGTATTTCAGATCCACCAGGGCACGGATAGCGCCTGCCGCGTCCCCAACGCTGTGTTTGCAGTCGTGCCCGGCGATCGGTGACGTGGATGACGCAGTGGACAGCATCAAGAGCGGCTGACGGGGGGAGAGTTAGCGGGGAGCCCTCTGGAGGGGGCACCGTGGAAGGAAGGCATGCGGCTGGGGGTCAGGCCTGCTCAGGAGAGCAGCCCCGGGAGCCCGCTCCCCCGACAGCACTTGCCCCTCCAGGCCTCTTCCGGGTCGTCCCCCGGGTCCGTGCCAACCGGCCTCCCTGTCCTGACACTGCTGCCGACTCGGGTGGGCTTTTCTGGCCATCCCGAGCTCCCCCAGACGGCAAGCGGCCACCTGTGTGGGGCGGGGCGGGGCGCAGCAGCTTTCTGGGGGCTGCGGGCGTGATGGCTGTGCAGAGTGCAGAATGGGAGCCCGGACAACAGGGTGGAAGCAGGCAGAGGTGGGGCGGGTGAGGGACTGCCACGCGAGCAGAAAGGGAGGCACTGACCTTGGGGAACACGAGAAAACCTTCCCTGAGCAGCTGTGATTTGAGAAGCTCAGTTGCTGCTGATGTTACTGCAAGTAGGGGACAATAGGATTTGTACCTGCTGCTTGGTGTCGGTGTAGATTCATCTAGAGGGTCTCCCCAGAGTTCTAGTGAGAGAACCGAAGTACTTTTGTAAAACAGGTAAAGTCTGTTTGGTTTCTTAAGTAGCTGAATCGGTAGTTCATTCCCATAGGCCAGCACTTCTTCACCCCGTGCGTGAGTTTGTCCAGCCTGCCCTGCTTGCTGCCCGAGTCCGCGGAGCCACTCTCGGCACACGCCCGGGTGGCGGTGACAGCTGTAGGACAGAGCATGCTGTGTACAGACCGTTCCTCCTTCAAAACTGTTGCCAGTGAAACTTCGGCTAACGAGAGATTCATAGCTGCTTCTTGCTTCTCCCAGAGCGGCCCTGCGGAAGGGCCAGATTCGTTCATGCTTGCTTCCCGGAAGGAGGCTAGGTCAGTCCATTTGCTTCTCCGAAGGCCGTTGCAGAGGCTCGCGTGCAAGGGCGGAGAGGCTGCCTTGTTGGGTTTGGTGGAGCTTAAATGAGCTGTGACAGGAGAGAGGAGGGGAGGTCTGCGCCTCGGTTCCCAAGAATGATTGACAAGGTACTGTAAGTCTCGGTCTCTTCGATTCTGGTCGTGCCAGAGACACGTCTCTAAAAACACTGCACCGGGAAAATGAACAGGCAAACGCAGCCTGAGGAATGGTCTGCCAGGTTCTGATGATTACCCTTCAGAAGTGGCGAGAAGCTGTCACGGCTGGGGGACACTGAGGAGACACGAGTAAATGCAGTGTGAGGCTCAGGAACAGTAAGAGGCTGTTCGCGGGCAGCCTGGTGAGATCCAGGCAGGGTCTGAGGTTGAGAAAGTGGTGCCGGTGGGTGTCGTGTGACACGTCGACCCCGGGGGGCCGGGGGCCGTCTTTGTAGCCCTCGTGTAGATCTGAAATCCGGAAGCAGGTAGAATAGCCAAGTTCCGGTTGATTTGCATACAACTCCCAGTAGAAATCTCATTTCAGAAGGAGAACAGCCGAGAGGCCAGTAGTTCACAGTCCTCCGAAGCAGCTGTACGCTTCCCGAGGAATAAAGAGCTTTCCTGGGGTACTGTCAGCAACACGGAGCTTCATCCTTAGCGAAAATGGTCCTTGCCCGCATTCCTGCGATTAGCAGGTGGCCACTGCAGGCTTAGCACCTTTGTGAAGCGCGGGAATGCCCAGCTTGGCGGTCATTCAGCCGTCATTCCTGGCGCCCACAGGCCAGAGGGGGCAGGCGCACCGGGGAGAGCAGACTGACGGACGGGCGGACGGCCAAGATGCGGCATATCACCCAGCCATAAAAAAGAAGGAAAGCTTGCCGTTCGCAACAACACGGATGGACTTCAGGGCATCATGCCATGTGAAATAAGTCAGAAAATGACAAACACTGTCTGATTTCACTTACGCGTGGAATCCAGAGGCAAACAAATCACTGAGCCCGTAGATCCAGAGGGCACATCGATGGCTGCCAGGGGAAGGGTGAAGGGGGTCAAAGACACGGCCTCCTGCTTATAAATAAGCCGTGGGGGTGTTGTGCACAGGTCACCATGGTTAATAGTACCGTAGCGCACGCGTGAAAGTTGCCAAGAGCGTGAGTCTTAAAGGTTCTCGTCACAGGAAAGCAAAATTGGGAATTGTGTGAGGAGACGGGCGTTCACTAGACTTACTGAGACGATCCTCTCATGGTGCGAACAACTTCCGCTTCCGAGTGTGAGGCCTCGCACGGGACTGAAAGAGCCGGGGGCTGATGCGTTTCCGCAGGTTCAGATGCAGGGAGGGGGAAACCTGTGACTCAGGCTGCCCTCTGCATAGTTAGAACTCGCTGGTGTCTTCCCAGGCCCATGGCTGAGTGTTGGGGATGGAGCAGGAGCACAGGG